GGCTAGGGCTAGGGCTAGGGCTAGGGCTTGGGCTAGGGCTAGGGCTAGGGCTAGGGCTAGGGCTAAGGCTAGGGCTAGGTATAGGGCTAGGGTTAGAGCTAGTGTTAGGGTTAGGGTTGTGTCTAGCGTTGGTTTGGTTTTGTGTGAAGTTTTAGGCTAAGGTGGATGCTTAGGTTTTGGTCTTTTTCTTACCGTTTGGATTAATGGATTTGGATTAATGTAGTATATAGGTATAAAATTCTAGTTAGAGTTAGAATTCTAACTTGAGGGGGGGGGTAATTCCCCGGGGGGGGGGGGGTAATTGACATGGGGGTAATTGCTACGGGGGGTAAATACGGAGGGGGGAAATGTCCGGGGGGTAATTTCCGGGGAGGGGGGGTAATGTCCTGTAGCCGTTGTTCAATCTTCTGAGTACTCATACATTGTATGTGCTTCTTATATAATATTCTAGGTTTTAAACTTTTTTTTTCTTTCTCGCAAACGGGGTATAGAAGAAGTATTATAATCGTGCAAAATATCGAAATCGAGATGTTGGCAATTCTGAACGACTTACACGAGTGGAACAAATTTAGCTTTGCAACTTTGTATTACATTGATTTGTATTTCTGTATAAACTTTTTTGCGCTTTACAGTAAGCGGAAGTGGTATTTACTCTACTTGATAAGCCGCTAACTTCAGTATAATTTAAGTAAAAGGGTAATACTTTTATGACGTCGACTAATAATTTAGACATTTAGACCCCACCCAGTCCACATGCGTCCACTTTAATAACCCCTGTTCCCTTCAAAACTTACTATCAATTCATTATTTCGCTACCAGGAAATAGACATCAATGGAGTTATTTTACACAATCATTATCTATTTAGTAAAAAGTAAATTCTCTAATTTTAAATAGTTGTGTTCGTCGAAAAACCTGTCTATAAAAGACTAACATCTTTCATTGTTAAACTTTTGACTAGACATATCCATTATAGCGGGAGTAGATGTGAGGTAAGTTTTTATTAAAAAGTGATTAAACGTATGCATCCGGTTATCGGAAATCGCTCAAAAGTTGATACGGATCTACGATTTTGATAAAATACTTATATTTGAAATTTCATCAACCTAGCTGTAACGGTACTAAAGTTATCGTGTTTACACACGCACACACACAGACACACACACAGACACACAGACATACGGACAAGATTGCAAAATTATGTTTTTCCGTATCAGTGAGGTGTAAAACGTCTAGATTTGTAAAAATCTCGATTTTTTTTTTGCACGATTACAATACTTTCTCTATACTACGTATATACGAGAAAGTAAAAATTATACAATTAAAAAAAACATTTTAATAGAAATATTTTTAAAAAGAATATTGCTAACTGTTAACTTACTATTCCGTGTTTGTAAAACTGTGACTAAAAGCAGTAAAAAAGCAGTGTCGGCAACGGTTGTTATCGGGAGAGTAGAAAGATGCAACTACTGTGATATTTACAGAGAAACAATTCTCTTCAGAGCAATAATAAAACTGATTATGCTTAAAGCTTCATATTAAATTACAAGTGGGATATTTGTGGCTTGATTGTGGAATTACACATAATTTGTCCGAGTGTTCGACACAAAAATCTGTTAAGTACATAATTTGAAAATGTAATATTATCCAAATTGATATCGACGTCATGATGTTTCCACGTCCAAGCACCATCTGTGAATGTTAACTGACATATCACGTTCTACCAGCGAATGACAGTGAGGGAAAATGTCACATGACACAATATTACCAGTGAGTGAAAATGTCAAACCTCGCCCGTCCACCCACCCACCCCGTTCGTTGTGGATGTCCACAAAATTATAGTTGATTTCTCAAAACTTTCTATCAATTTACTATTTTGCTGCCATATAACAGACATCAATAAAGTATTTTTTTTACACAATCGTTACCTATTTATTAAAAAATAAATTGCCAAAATTTAAATTCTATCATATGTCATTTCAATCTCTTAGTTAGCACTCTAAATAAGAATAACATATATTCTTTAAATTTCAAATAGTTTTGGTTGTCGAAAAACCTGTCTATAAAAGACCAACAAATTTCATTTTGAAACTTTTGACCAAACATATCAATTATATTGGGAGTAGATGTAAACGATGTTTTATACAGCGGCGTAGCCAGGATCGTCTCAAGGGGGGGGGGGTTCCATTTTTTACCCGGGGACAAACTTTCGATTTGCACCCCCCCCCCCCTCAGACTTTTGATTTGCACCCCCCATACTTTCGATTTGCACCCCCCCCTCATACTTTATATATATATACCGAGGGGTCTATGGGGGGGGGGGGGTTATGACTCCCCCTAACCCCCCCCCCCCTGCCTACACCACTGGTTTTATAAAAACATCTTAAAACGTATGCATCAGTGTACATCCTGTGTTAAAGTGACGACAAACAAAGCCTTTCAGTTTCGCTCCATCTTAATGTGTTTACACTGTAGTAGGCTAACAGTTCGTCTGTACTTTTGCAAGTCATGACTTCGAAGTTATATTGAGATAGTTTCTGTATCCCATTATCTCAGTATTGCCAACAGCATGGGACAAAACACACGAAATTACTGTATATCTATATATATAATTCTCTTCTGGGAGACGCTAGAAAACAAGCTGTAAGCGCGCTCCCTACCACCCCCACCCCTACCTAGTCTGGTGAGCTGTGGTTCACGCTAAATGTTTACAATCGTGGAGCCGGGTTTAGTGACGACTATTAGGGGCAGATAATTTAGTTTGAAACGATTTTAAACATAGGGGGGGGGGGGGGATAACTAAGTGGAGTTTACTTTAACGGAGGGGGAAAGGAGGGGGGGGGGGGGTTATCATCCTTAACGAGCTACTTATAGTGTTTTAAAGAAATATTTTCAGTGGCAGCGTTGGTACTGTCGAATTCACAAATTATGAATTACTGAAAAAGTAGAAAATAAAACAACTAAATAGCGGCGTATGATAAGCCGCGGGTCGGCTCGTATTTTTTATTCGCCAAACGTACGCCTCGTGATACACAGATGAAGTAGAGTTAAAATATTTACGAAGCAAATTATAACTGTAGTTATAAAACTCAGAAGGCATTAAGCGAAGGGGTTACATGACTGAGAACTAAGTTTTGGATTGGAAACAGCGTTAATTAAGCTTGTTATTTCCTTAAACCATTTTAATACGTTAGCTTCTTAAATATAAGTAAAGTTATTGAATAAAAAAAATATAATGACCGACACTTTTCTTTATAGTTTTTTTAAATATTAGTGTATTCTTATATATTTACAGAAAATCATTATTTTTCGACTTTTTATTGCATTATTAAATAAAAGCTTTTTATTAAAACACTTTTATGCTTTAGTGCATCCTAGTTCAACCGAAGACATTCTTATTCAAGTTTCGTTAAGTTATAGTGCGTGTTAAAGAACCGTAACACTTATAACAGCACTTAACTAAAGGACACGGCACGTGTGTACATAATCTACACGGACCGTCTCTCATTGTGATCACAGAACTACACACCTCTTAGATGCGACATATTTGACTTGAAATGTGTTTGCCGACATCAAATAGTGTTGAGATAGCAAAGCTTGCTTATAAAACACTAGGGGCATTAGTTGATTTAAGGAGCATTAAACACACGTCCATATAGATTTTGTGATGTGGGCATACCCCTACTGCTGAAGACATTTTTTATGAAAGTTAAACAGACTATTCTCGGGGTTAAATCTGTAAGCTATCTAATTTAAACCTTTTTAAAATAAATTGTCTTAAATTTTACTTTACAAAATTTACAATTTACTGTTATGATGGAAAAAAATATATGGTTTTTACACCACACAATCAGGGAAACGATGAAGATTAAAGTTTCTTCCAGGCATCTCTTCGGGGGGGGGGGGGGGGTAAGCTAGCCCCCTCCCAGCCCCTCCCCCCCCCCCCCGAAGAAAGTCTACCGCCCCCCGAACGAAATGGAATTTATATAGAAAATATATACTTTTAACAGCGTCCGCCTTCCTGGAAATTTGGAAATTTTAGTCCGCCCCCACACCCGAAAATTTCAAGTGCCCCCCCCCCCCCCCCCCCCCCCCGGAGAAAAAAGTCTGGAAGAAACACTGATGATGATGATGATTATAATAAATAAGTTTTATAATAATAATTCTACCACTACTACTACTACCACCGCTACTACTACAACAACAACTACTACTACTTCTACTACTACAACTACAACAACTACTACTTCTACTACTACAACTACAACAACTACTACTACTACTATTAAATACGAATAAAATCCGGGTCACCACTCAGAGCTGCAAACACACACATACGCACACATACACACACACACACACATACACACAAACACAGATACACACACACACAAGTAAAAATCGACACAAGATCACCTTGACCCTGCTCCAATTTTAAAACCTGACACAGCTGCATGAGCATTGAGTACAGTTTAAAAAAAAAATTAGCCTGTTAATATTTACTTGTACCGTAACAATAAAAGCTGTGTGGTGTATTGTAAAAGTACGTTTCGTATCTTATAGCGAATCTTGTTTTTGTTTTCCACTTGGATAAACGTGTTCGCTGCTCACCAGACCGTAACAAGCGACCTATAGCATACATCCATAGGCGTCGCTAGGTCGGGTGTCACCCGGTGCGGCACTTCGTGGTGTCATCCCCCACCCCCCCCCCTCTCCAGGAAACAACACCCCCACCCTCTTGTAATAACTGTCGATTTGTACTTAAGTTTATTTAACTTTTTAAAAAATCACTAATGGATCTGGCACTAAGACATTTTTCTTCTTTACATTTTGCATTTCTTTTCCTTGGTGTCACCCCCCTAAATGGTGTCACCCGGTGCGGTCCGCACCCCCCGCCCGCCCTCGCTACGCCTCTGCATACATCGTCTGTTTGCCTCCACACTTCAGGATATATTAGCCGGAGGTTTTTTATTCTTACTTAAGATCTGGTCTCTTTGAAAGCTTTGCTTACGCGAACGGCAGATAATTTGAATTTTCAAAAATAACAGATTTTATAATTTAGCATAGAGAGATATTTAACATACGTTGTTTTAAAACGGTGAGTAAATATTTCACTATTTTGACATCTTTTTTTTTTAAATTTGAAAAAGTAGTATTTAAGGAAAAAAAACTACTTTGTGATTCTTTAATATAAGTTGTATGCCTATCTTTCTAATGTAAAAACACAATCGATATGAAATTATTCATATATAACTAATTAAGACGTGTAGTTTTTATTTTATTTTTGCATTGTTAACTAATACATACGAGTGTGTGTTAACACAGTAAAGCGCGCACTAGCTTAAACTAAGATTAAAAATTTACTTTTTAAGTTGTTATTTATTGATGTTATAAATTATATCTATGACATTGTCATAATAAGATCCAATCCCTGTGTTAGGAATTGATATAATTCAGATACTACCTCAAGAAAGGGGTCGTCCACAATTGACGTCACACTCCTGGTTGAGCAGTGTTTCTTCCAGACTTTTTTCTCCGGGGGGGGGGCACTTGAAATCTTCGGGGGGGCGGTAAACTTTCTTCGGGGGGGCGGACACTGTTAAAAGTATATATTTTCTATATAAATTATATAAATTTCATTTCGTTCGGGGGGGCGGTAAAAATTTTTCGGGGGGGCTTCGCCCCCCCGAAGAGATGCCTGGAAGAAACTCTGTGGTTGAGGGTGGAGAAACTAAAATTTTATAACGACGATTGCTTAGTGGGAGCTTTAGAAGGTGTGACGTCCAGAGGCGTAGCGAGGGGGGGGGGGGGCGGGGGGGGGGGGGGTGGACCGCACCGGGTAACACCATTTAGGGGGGTGACACCAAGGCATAAAATAGCAAAATATATAGAGAAAAATTTGAGGGGGGGGGGGGGGGGCTGCAAATAAAAATTTGAAAGTTTGTCCCCGGGAAGGGTCGCTACGGCTCTGGGGGGTGACACCATTAAGTGCCGCACCGGGTCACACCCGACCTCGCTACGCCACTGGTGACGTCATACTATTGCATTTTTTAAAAAAATAAACCGGGAGTGATCTCCCCTAAACTTTCTCGAATATTCTTATATAAAACAACAGGGGATGGGAACTCGGGCTATAGACATGATTTTTAATCCATTTTAAATACTTAAAGTTTTAAAAATAGAATAAAATCTCGTAGACAAAAAAAATTGCACACCAAGCGAACGCCAAATAAAAAAGTGCATAATAGTGCGCAATATTATTAGTACTTTAAAAATTTACATAAGTTTTTTTAGAAATCGGAAGTAGCGTAAATTACTACTTCCGGTCAACGGAAATTACTCAAAATTTAACAGAAGGTAGAGAATTAGATCGTTTACTTACATGTGAAATTTCATTTATCTATCTGAAATAGTACTCAATTTATAGGCTTTTGAAAACTTCAAAGTAGAAAAAGTACTACTTCCGGTTATCAGAAATCTCTTAAAAGTTGATACGGATCTACGATTTTGATAAAATACTTATATATGAAATTTCATCAACCTAGCTGTAACGGTACTCAAGTTATCGTGTTTACACACGGACAGACAGACAGACAGACACACAGACATACGGACAGAATTGCAAAGCCCAGTTTTTCTGACTGGATTACGCATAAAACCTCTTAATTTTGATAAATCTGGATTGATAATTTTTGCCCGATTAAAATAAGTCCTCTATACTTCGGATGTGATGAAGGACTGAGGTGTAATACGGTGAAAATTGTTAAAATTTCAAGTGATTTTTTGTGCACGATTACAATACTTTCTCTATACTTCGTATATACGAGAAAGTAATAATGTTGAAAGATGAATTTAGCTGTTAGTTCACAAGAAAGCTGTTTTTTTAAAATAGAAATTGATTAATACAAGAATTCATGATAATTGAGCTTAGAGAATATTTTAAAAAGAAATTGATGTTTTAAAAAAAAATAAACTGCAATTTTGAGGCGGTTATATACTAAGGTGTGACGTCATCTTATGAGGGGTTTCTGGCTTTTTGTGACTGTAATGGTGGGGAAGGGAAGAGGCTGAAATCTCCCAAAATAGCGTGACATCATTTATAGATGAACCCTCAGGTACTACCTATATGTCAGTTCAAGAAGACATTTTCTTTACTTATTTGCTATAATATGATGGGTTATGACTAACGGCATTTGCGTAATATGTGATAGTGTAGTGTTAGAAAATGTATGACGTTGGAGTGTTATCATATGTCGGGAGGGGGGGGGGGGTGGTGCATGACGGATGGACGGGGAGGGGACTTAACATTCTCAAAAATTGGTTAACTAGTCGCCCTCGTGATAAACATAAATAGAAGAAATATGCGTTTCTATTTTGAACTTATGTTGGTAATTACACTGTCAACATCTTAGCCTCACTTAGGGCTACGTCGGCAAACCAAAGATATATCAACACTCTAACAACAACACAGATTGTTATTTTTTGTCATGGGACGAGATGTTAATAATTCGTTGACGTACTCTTGTCTTATTTTTATTCTTGTAGACTTTTCTCCCCAGAAAACATCCAGACATGTACCTCTTCCAGAAACCCGACTTTGTTGTAGTCATCTACACCGGCAACCGCGACCTCGCCGGCACCAACGCCCACATCTACATCAAACTCTACGACGAACACAACAACAGCACGCCGGCCATCCACCTCGACAACCCCATCGTCAACGACTTCGAGCGCGGGTCCATCGACAGCTTCAAACTCGGCAGCAACGACACATCCGCTCTGGTGAAGTCGTCGAAAGTTCTAAAAATAGAACTATGGCGCGACAACCACGGCATTGGTGCTGAATGGTTTGTAGAAAAAGTTGAAGTCCAGAACAAGCAGACCAACGAGACGTTTGTGTTTCCGGTGTTCAGGTGGGTTAGGGCGGACGTCCACTACACGATCCAGCATTTGGACACAGACCTGCCGCAGTGTGTACCCGCGGACATCGAAGCTCAGAGGAAGAGTGAGTTAGCGTATATGAAGAGTCGGTATGAATTGGATCACAAGTTTCCCAGTCAGTACCCAGGTGGACCGTGTCAGGTAGTGTATGCTAATCATAACATTAGTTATCCTAATCATGTATCTGATGTTATCATAACATTAGTTATCCTATTCATGTATCTGACGTAATCATAACATTATCCTAATCATGTATCTTATATCTTCATAACATTATGCCAATCACGTATCTGATGTCATCATAACATTATCCTAATCGTGTATGTGATGTCATCATAACATTAGTTATCCTTATCGTGTATCTGATGTCATCATAACATTATCCTTATCATCTAACTGATGTCATCATAATATTAGTTATCCTAATCATGTATTTGATGTCATCATAAGATTATCCTAATCATGTATCTGATGTCATCATAACATTAGTTATTAGTTATCCTAATAATGTATCTGATGTCGTCATAACATTAGTTATCCTAATCGTGTATCTGATGTCATCATAACATCAGTTATCCTAATCATGTATCCGATATCATCATAACATTAGCTACGTTATGTTTGAACATTCAATAGATCAGCAGGGGTCGACTTGGTCGAGTAGGTAAAGCTCAAGGTTGCTAAACCGAAAAGTCTCGAGTTCGAACCCCTCGACAGCTACTTTTCTAGGAGAGACAATCCCAAAATCAGACAACTGCTGCCTTGTAGTTTGTTCTTGGTTGGACAAAGGCTATGAAAGCTAATCAAAAAAGAAAAGCAGGCTGTCATTGGAGTCAACGATGGCGCATAGCCACTTAACAGTAATAATAAATCTATAACCTAATACAGACTTAAAAATCATGGCAAAGCCTAAATCTGTTTAATTATTTTTTTTAAATCATTGTAAAAATCTGTATTCTTGTGTTTTATTCTTTATAGATTAAGAAAGTCCCATTAGAGGAAATGTTTTCGGGAAAAGATATTGTAAGTGTATTTTTTAAACACGTTACGTAAATGTAAGTTGGATTTTCGTGGTTTAGTAATAGAGCGAACATGAGGGGTTAAGGTTTGAACTCTGATAGCGACCAGTTCGAACCTACATGATTCCATGAGTAAATCCAACAACGCTGTTGTCTAAATTTTTTTTGCTAAGGTCATGGGTTCCAACAATGTTTTGTGATGTCACATATCCTTATAACAAGACCAACAGAAAAATATAGCGTAACGATATTTGTATACATAGGAAACTCAGCCCTTCTTAATGCTGGATGTAGAATTGTATTTTCTACCAGGGTTAAGGGCAGGTTTAGGGGAGATTCCAAACGATCTGCTAACGTCTAAGGAATTGCAAATGAGCGTAGCTTCAAATAATGAAATAACGTTTCATTTTATCACATTAACTACTTAATATATGTAACACATAACGAAAGATAATAGTTATCAGACCTGGCGTCCATAAGACAAATAAGGTAGAACCTTGCTACCTCCGCATATAGTTGAATAAAGTGGTCAGTCATATGCTTACTTCGAACTAGATTACATGCAGTGATTCTTCCAGATTTTTTTTTCTCGGGGGGGGGGGGGCAAAAACATTTTTAGGGGGAGGGGGCGGACTAAAATTTTCATAGGGATGGGGAGGATACTGGTAAAAGTATATATTTTCTTTATAAATTATATTTAGTTAGGAGGGGGGGGGACGTTCTTCATTGGGACGGACCCCCCCCCCCTCCCCCCGGAGTCGATGCATGAAAGATTACATACGTTCTGTTTAACTATCGAACATCAATTCGTAAAAGCCTTGTACGATACTGGACCTAAAACATTGTGTTTGTTTTTTTTTTTTTTATCAACGTCAAGCTGACCATTGGCGGGATGGCGGTCAAGCTCAAGGCCACAGCCGCCTACACAGCGGCTCTCAAGTGCAAGGTCAACAGCCTGTCCGACCTGGGGAAGATCTACTCCAAAGAGTTCAACCGTCCTGAGGTGAGGGGGGGGGGGGTAAACTATGATGGGGTTAAGGGAGTTGTGTGAAATAAACTTGGAGAAGATCTATTACAAAGAGTTCAACCGTCCCGAGGTGAGGGGGGGGGGGGGTAAACTATGATGGGGTTAAGGGTTGTGTGAAATAGACTGGGAGTTTGATTTTTCTAAGACATTTTACTTAGAGATTTTGTTCGGGCATTTGGGATTGATTTGTAACCATCTTGGTGTAAAAGATGGACTGAAATAATTCTATGTTAGAGAATTTGTTTAAAAGTGCCGAGTAAAGGTTTGAGATTGCATATCATGACTCCATACAAAGTTATTTTTCTTTTTAGGAGTCGTCACGCTCGTAGGGGGGAGGGGGGGGGGGGTCCGTAATTTTGTGATGGTGTGTGATGAGGGGGAGGGGGGGGGTTCAGATGGTGCGACGTCACACTTTTGCATTAGAAAAAAGCCGTGTTAGAAAACGAATTTTAGACGTTATTTCGCGTTTTAGACAACTGTTTTAATAAATTGTAATAGGAATTGATTAAAGTTCTCTATATAGACAGAGTTTAGACAAAGATTTTAGGAAAATATCGATGTTTTAAGAAAAATTCAACTGCAATTATTTTGAGGGGGGTTGTAGGCTGAGGTGTGACGTCATTTTATGGGTGAGGGGTCTGGCTTTTTGTGACGATGTGTGACAGAGGGGAGGGGGGAGGTAAAAATCGTTTAAAAAAAAGCTTGACGTCATTTGTGGATGACCATTTAACGCAATTATCTATCATCTGCGTTGTCAACACTTTAAGCGAATCTGTGCAACATGTGCTACGTGGAACATTACCCATTACAAGATTTTAAAATCTCCCATTCATCATCTTTTCCCATACGTGCCCAAGACACATAGGGCGGATGAAGTAGAGTGCATCTGCTTCAGAGACCTCGGCATATGAAGGGATGGTGTGGTCAGCACGATGCCAAGTCGAATTTATTTTCCTTGACATATGTTAGATACCCATCAGTGACTTAGGGACGTTGAACTAATTTGAAACCATACTCGAACTCGAGACTTCCGGGTTAGCAGTCTAGCGCTCTACCGCAATTATATCTAGTTAAAAGCTGTATTCATGCTATTCTATGTTTTACCACAGCGTGCTATCTAGTTAAAAGCTGTATTCATGCTATTCTGTTTTACTACTACAGCGTGCTAACTAGTTAAAATTTGTATTCATCCTATTCTGTTTTACTACTACAGCGTGCTATCTATTTTTTCCCACGTTTTCTTTAACTTGCTTTCTCTGTTTGTCTTTCCAATCAAATCTTGCGATCGAAATTTCTGGCACTTCCCAGTTAGCTAGCGCGCTGAAATTTTGAGGGAAGCTTTCTTTTGGATGACCATAGAATATTCAATTGTTATTATTACTAAATTGATCAATGGAAACATTTTATTGAGCATTTTAGACCGCTATATAATCTATATATATAATTCTCCTCTGCGAGCCATTAGAAAAAAAACGAGCGACGCGTAGCTCGCCTCTCTCTTGCCGCGCGCAGTGAAGCGAACGATCCCACGTCGCGACAGGCTTAGGGGCAGATAATTTAGTTTGAACCGACTTTAAACTTACAGGAGGTAACTATTACCACTGGTGGCCAGTTTGGGGGAGACGATATGGTCGAGTGGTTGGGCACACGATTGCTATCCCACTCGACACGGGTTCAAATCTATGTGTTCTAGTCAGTAACCAGCCCTCGTCCTAACCGCTATCAACTAACCTCTGACAATCATTCACTTGCGATTGAGACCGAAGAAGAAAGGGTCTCTCGTTTTTTACGAGTTGTCTTTTTACGAGTTGTCTTCGTTTACCCAAAAAAAAGTTAAAAGATAAAATCGATAGCAAGATTTCAATGCAAACAAACAGACAAAGACTAAAAAGTAGAAAATAATAATCATTAAAAAAGTTTTAAAAAACCCACGTTTTCTGATTGAACTAAAAAGTAGAAAATAAATACTATACATCACAATAATGCAAGCGATCACTCTACTATAAGCGATGAAAAACGTGGGGCGCCGTGATTTTCTTACAGTTTCTAATACTGTTGACTCTCTACAAGCTCCCTAATAAAAGTCAATAGTATTATCTAATCAATAGTAATATAACTTTTACTTCGGCGCCCCACGTTTTTCATCGCTTATAGTAGAGTGATCGCTTGCATTATTGTGATGTATAGTATTTATTTTCTACTTTTTAGTTCAATCAGAAAACGTGGCTTTTTAAAAACTTTTTTAATGATTATTATCAAAGTTGTATTCATGCTATTCTGTTTTACCACAGCGTGCTATCTAGTTAAAAGTTGTATTCATGCTATTCTGTTTTACTACTACAGCGTGCTGCCTATTGGATGAGTGACGAATACTTCGCCCTACAGAGACTTGCAGGGTTAAACCACTCCATCATAGAACTGGTCACACACATACCAGAAAAGTGAGTTGTTCACACTTAAAATTTTAGGTTGGGGCCTATACACAGTGGCGTAGCGAGGTCGGGTGTCACCCGGTGCGGCACTTAATGGTGTCACCCCCCAGAGGCGTAGTGACCCTTCCCGGGGACAAACTTTCAAATTTTTTATTTGCACCCCCCCCCCTCAAGTTTTCGATTTACACCCCCCCCCCCCTCAAACTTTCGATTTGCACTCCCCCTCAAGTTTTTCTCTATATATTTTGCTATTTTTTGCCTTGGTGTCACCCCCCAAAATGGTGTCACCCGGTGCGGTCCGCACCCCCCGCCCCCCCCCCCTCGCTACGCCCCTGCCTATACATTCAATACTTGAAGGGCTCAGTGGAAAAAGTACTTAAGTGTATTTTGAGAGTTTTGAGAAAAATGAGTGCAAAGTTTTTAAATTGAAGCTGAAATACCAAAACAGCTGATGCAAAGTATTCGAATTAAGCTACTTCGGTACTGTTTCCATGGCCCAAATTTACAGGGATGGTTTAGACTTTTAAAAGACATTGAAATCGTTTTAAAAGAAGCTAACCCGTGCTGATAAAATATACATTATTTCTTCATCATATTCTTTTCACGTTTGTTCCCAAGAAAAATGGTGCAGTTTAAGTTAGATTTCTTCTGTTTCAATGGCGTTGGCATAGAAGAGGATAATATGGTTAGCAATGTGTCCAACCGCTTTTATTTACCTATCTTGAGTTAGGTGCCCATCAAAGCTGGGAAGTTCTACTAATGAAACCCGGATTTGAACTCGATACTTTCGGGTTAGCTAGGCCACGATGTCTCATTATTTCTCCTTAGTTAATGGTAAACTACTGATTACTCCACCAATCGTATTAGTTGTTTTTTTTCAAACAGTAAAAAAAGGCAACGGGTCGATATTTTATTTGTTAGTGAAGCCAAAAATGTCACTAGTTGTTTTTTGCAGAAGAAGAAAACTGCGACGGACCTTAGCATTTTATGTGTTCGTAAGACTAATAGGTCATCATAAACATGAAAAGTTCCCTTTATAAAACAATAGGACAAGTCACGTAGAGCTCACCTGTTTCTGTGACCTCGGCATATGAAGAGAAAGTGTGGTCAGTACTATGCCTAGCCGCCTTTACTTTCCCTAACTTGAGTTAGGTACCAATCAGAATTGGGTGGACTCAGGGACGGTCTACTGACATGAACCCGGATTCGAACTCGAGACTGACGGGTTAGCAGTCCAGCTCTCTACGTAAGAGCAAGTACATTTTACTAAATTGAACCCGGATTCAATTTCCAGACTTGTCGGGGTAGCAATATAGAGCTCTACCGCTAGGCCACATCGTCGCAATGAAAAACTTGGGACAATTTATTATTTACAACTTTTGTATAGTTATAAGATATTGGTATTAAGATGACGTAATTTATTATCAATTAATAAAGTTTTTTATACAAGTACGTTGTGTTTATTTTCTAAACATTTTAAGAAGCACTATTTAAAAAGCAAAATTATATATTTAATTACAAGTAGGCCTATTTGAGCTTTAACAAAATGTGTCATTAAATCCATATACATATACTAATGACATTTTTATTTAGCGATAGTTTATTTAAAAAAAGTATTTTTCGTTTTGATTTTCTCAACCTCAAAGAATCACAACATAACAATGGAATGCTTTAATTTATAGGTTTTTTTTTTACTTCTGAACATCCATTTTCTTTAAGACACTTATTTTTTATGAATCAATATAAATTTAAAGAGGAATATTTGAAATTAAACCGTGATAATTAAGTAATTTTTCCCTCCCAGGTTTCCTGTCACAGATGACCTACTAAGACCTTTCCTCGAAGGCCTCAACATCTCGCAAGCCATCGCCCAGAAGAGACTTTATATCTGTGACCTTCACCTTTTGGATGGCTTGACCTGCAAAGAAAATAGAAAAGTTAGATTTGACTTTACACTGGAATACTAGACTACGTTATTTAACGCCTCTTTCTTTAAACGAACAACGATTTACATGAATTCGCAACCAGATTTTAATAAAAGTTTGAAATACCAACTCGAGTAAAACAAACACAACATTTTTCAAAAATAATCATAAAAAAACAATTTAGTAAGATAAATGTTACATAAATAGCAAAACGTAACATATTTGACATAATTTTAAGACGTAGAAATTGCGTTAATCGCCACATAAATCATGATCTACACCCCCACCACCCCCAACCTAAACACACACACACACTTATTCATACACACATATCATCCCAGCACCTTGCTCACCAACACACAGATCTGAAACCCACCTCATGACCTTGACTTTTGACTTACTTGACTTAGTCCTCTTTGCTCCTTATGGAACATAGGGCCTCTACCATTTCTTTTCATTTCACCGATCTCCGGCTTTTAATTTTGCCTTCTCCCAAGACATCCCTAATCCCTGTTGGCTTCAGTTCTTCAAGAAGACTCGGTCTACAGAATTGTCATGGGCGCCTTTTCTTCCGCCTTCCCTGGGTGTTTCACTCAAGCGCTAGGCGTGTTACATTGTGATGAGCCTTTCCCAGAGTGTGCCCCATTCTCACGACCTTAAGTAGTGTAAAATGTTGCTTCCAGACTTTTCTCCGCGGGGTGGGGGGGGGGGGGCACTTGAAATTTTCGGGGGGGGGGGGGGGGAGGGCGTTGGTAGACTACCTTCGGCATGCTCTGCCCCCCCCCCCCCCCCACGAAGAGATGCCTGGATGAAACTCTGCTAGTGTATACAACATGAGTTGTTTAATATGCACATATGCCAACAACAACATAAAAAAACATTCAACCTTTTACGAAAAAAATACAATCAAATATTCACTATTATAAAAGTTCACAACATGAATCATAACCCATGCACTGTAACACCCCTATTATTTATAATAATCTATGCAATAATTCACCAGCTGTGTTCACCCATTGCACTGTTTTTCGTCGGCGCCTCGCGAAAACTCAAACCTGTCGCCATTCAACTTTTTCAAAAACCAGGGGAGACAAACCCAGTGAGTTAAATGTTTGCACTGTTCTACTTGTTTACATGTACTACATAGAAGAGCACTCTAGCATGGTCACCGTTAAAAAATGCCTAAAGTTTGCTCATGTGAAGGTGAGTCCATTATGCAAAAACCAGCCAAGCCAACTTTAAAAAATGAAGTTCGATAGGATTAGGATTAATTTTAATCCGATTATTAGATTATAGAAACAAGTCTAATAGTAATAGAACAACTCAAGCGGGAAAAGTTCAAGATTGTTTTGCTACCAGTAAGTAAGTAAAGTTTCCCTTTCAAACCTGAAGGTCTATGGGGCAAATGAAGTAGAGTTCACTTGTTTCTGTGACCTTGGCATATGAAGAGATAGTGTGGTAAGCCCTTTGCCCAACTTTCCCTAACGTGAGTTAGGTACTCATCAGAGTTGGGTAGACTCAGGGACGGTCTACTGACTTGAACCAGGATTCAAACTTGAGACTTATAGGTTAGCAGTGCAGCTCTCTACCGCTAGACCACTCCGTCCCATGCTACCTAAATCTTATCGTTTACCTTGACATTAACTAGATTTCTAATCACAGCTCTAACTTAGCCCGTATAAAATAATCGATATGTTTTCAACAACACGATAGGATTAAGCTGATTTTCAAGGCTAGGTTTGGTCGATCTAAATTAACTATTCAGATTATAGTAACACTAGTGTTAGGCTTCGTGAAGTAACAGTAAAACCAACAAGAATCCATGGCTAAAATAGGAGATAACGCCCTTCTTATCGTTGTCCTATTTTTGAAATCGATAATGGTCCATAACACTAATTTGTTTGTGTATCTTTATTAATTTACCTTTCAAACCTGTAAATATTTATCTTGCCTGTCAACCCATACACATTTATGTTACCTATCAAACCTGTACATATTCATCACAACTATCTAATCTATAATTAATCTTGCATATCCAATATATTCACATTTATCTTACTTATCAAAACCATACACATTTATCTTGCCTATCAAACCCATACACTTTTATACTACCTAACAAACCAGTACATATTTATCACAACTTAAAACCTAAACGCCTTTATCTTATTAATCAAAACAGTGCACATTTATTTCGCCTATCAAACCCATACACATTTATCTTACTTATCAAAACCATACACATTTATCTTGCCTATCTTTTATATCTATCTTTTATCAAACATTTACATATGTATCACACCTATCAAACCTATACACATTTATCTTACCTATCAAATCTATAGACATTTATGTTACCTATCAAACCTATAGACATTTGTTACTATTTAACTTTAGACATTTACGTTACCTATTAAACCTATAGACATTTATGTTACCTATCAAAACTATAGACATTTATGTTACCTATCAAACCTATAGACATGTATTACTATTAAACCTATAGACATTTATGTTACCTATTAAACCTATAGACATTTATGTTACCTATTAAACCTATAGACATTTATGTTACCTATCAAACCTATAGACATGTGTTACTATTAAACCTATAGACATTTATGTTACCTATTAAACTATAGACATTTATCTTCCCTATTAAACCTATAGATATTTATCTTACCTATTAAACCTATAGACATTTATGTTACCTATCAAACCTATAACCAACCATACCATGTCTATCACTATCCTCATCATCTACCTTATCTATGAAACCAATGAAGACTCACATGTGTGCCCCCCCCCCCCCCCCGCCCACGTTGTTGTCAGATTTTCACCCCAGCCTGTCACCACATGACCTGGACATTGGTCAAGATGTGGTACAACCACGCTGACGCCGCTTACCATCAGGGTCTGACGCATCTCGGTATGACATTTTTTGTTACTCGTCTAAAAAAACAAAAGTTACCCGTTAGGGTAGGATGGAGCAGGTGAAGTAGAGTTCACCATTTTTCCGTGACCATGATATATAAACGTATAATATGGTCAGCACTAAGCCCATCTGCCTTTACTTTACCTATTATGAGTGAGGTAGGCCTACCCATCAGAACCGTCGATCCACGGTACCGAACTCAAGACTTTCAAGTTAGCTGGAGTCTTAGCTTCCATATGGGTAGCTGTCCTCAACTATCGAGCCTTATCAGCCCAGGGCTTCGAACCTCGGGACTCTTTGGTTTAGCAACAATGAACTTAACCACGCCATCCATATTTTTAAAATCGATACAAATTTAAAAGCTTGATTCCCAAATACATATTACTGTGATTCTTTGAAAAAAATGTGAAAAAAAAGCTGTGATTTTACCACCCTCAGGATTCACACACCTACTGATGGAAGGTTTCTCACTAGCTACACACCGCCATCTCTCCATCTCGCACCCGATGTACAAGATTCTAGCCCCCCATTTCCTTAACCTGCACGCCATTAACAGGTAAGGCGCTTTTTTCCGTGTGCGCTTTTTTCCGTTGCGCTTTTTGTTTTGCGCTTTTTTCCGTTGCGCTTTTTTCCGTTGCGGTTCTTTCCGGCCACCATGATAAACGCAACATTCACAATGCAGACAACATGTTTTACGATACTATTTTAACAAAGAAAAATATATCCGTTTAAAATTATTTTAACATTTTCATTAACTGTTTTTTATATTAAAACATTGAGCACAAAACTAATGATATATGTAGAAACTAAAGTTCAGACTTAGAATAGTTGAAAATAATAGAAAATCGTCACAGAAAGTTAAATCGTAATATTAAGTTTAGAATGATTTGGTTTGTACTGATTTAAAGTACTGTTATAAAATGTGTAAGTGCATTGCTAATGCTTGGGGAAAATGGATTTAAAAAATGTACTGCACAGATGTAGTTTTAAAATGGTAAGCATTTGATTTTAATTTCAGTTGGACTCCGTATTGATTGATATACTAATGTACGCATTTTAAAGAGATTAGTTTAGTAAATGTCTATTTGTCGGACTATCTGTAAGCACATAGTTGTAGCTAACTGTAAATAAATAAACATCAATCAGAACTAAACTATACTGTAAAATATATGTATCTATTTTTCAGTCTATCAAAGCGTTTTTGTATTTCAGTCTAGTACTTGTTCAGATTTATATCTCAGTCTAGCACTTGTTTATATTTGAGTTTAGCACTTTGAGAGGTTCTATATATTTCAGGTTGTCACTTGTTTATATTTCATTCTAGCACTTCTTTATATTTTAGTCTAGCACTTGTTTATATTTTAGTCTAGCACTTTATATTTCAGTTTAGCACTTTATATTTCATTCTAGCACTTCTTTATATTTCAGTCTAGCACTTTATATTTCAGTCTAGCACTTTATATTTCAGTCTAGCACTTCTTTATATTTCAATCTAGCACTTTATATTTCAGTCTAGCACTTGTTTATATTTCATTCTAGCACTTGATATTATTTCAGTCTAGCACTAGTTTATATTTCAGTCTAGCACTTTAAATTTGAGTCTAGCACTTGTTTATATTTCAGTCTAGCACTTTATATTTAAGTCTACCACTTTATATTTAAGTCTGGCACTTGATATTAGTCTAGCACTTTATATTTCAGTTTAGCACTTTATATTTCAGTCTAGCACTTTATATTTCAGTCAAGCACTTGATATTAGTCTAGCACTTTATATTTCAGTCTAGCACTCTCAGAGCTTCTCGCAGATGGAGGGTGGGTAGATAAGACAATGAACTACGGCAACAAGGGAATGTACGAGTTGATGTTACGTGGGTGAGCTCAATATGTACATTTTAGACCCACAGCTAATATGTGGGCAGTCTTCAAACCGTACTGAGTTCAGTACTGGTATTGTGGTCTGTTGTTTTTACTCAATTCAAATATGTGTACAATCTTCAGTCTATATGTAGTCCAGTAATATTTTAAGTGTAGTTCTTTAATTTTCTTTACTGAGTTCAGTACTTTTATTGTGCCTTATAATTACGTGTAAAATCGTTAATCATTGTGTAGTTCAGTAATTGAAAAATGCTCTTTTATTTTTACTTCATGCACATACGTGTAGAATCTTCAATCTGTATTGAGTTTAGCGCTCATAAGATGGTCTACTGCGCCCATCAAAATGGCTTCACCTGCACTAGAGTTCGAACTCGGGACTTTATGAATTTGCAATAATGCTTTACCAACCCATCCACCCCGTTCCTCGACTGCATTGAGCAATTTTTAAATACGGCTTAAAGTGAAGAAAAAAAAATCGTAAAATTTACATTTGTTAAAGCAACTGTTAATTTGCAAAGAATTACTAATTAAAGTGCTAAAATTAATTAATTAAATCTTGAAAATGTTAATTTAGGTACAAAGTGTGGAGCCTTGATCACCATGGGATTTTGCACAATGACCTGAAGAGAAGAGGGGTCAGTATGTATTGTATGTTGTATACGTAACTCAACAGTACTCACAGTATAATGCACATACCGATCAGTAATTATTGAGGATTCTCACGCAGTGGCGTAGGCAGGGGGGGGGGTTAGGTCATTACCCCCCCATTGACCCCTGTTATATATATAAAGTATGAAGGGGGTGCAAATCGAAAGTTTGAGAGGGGGTGCAAATCGAAAGTTTGTCCCCGGGTAAAAATTGGAACCCCCCCTTGAGACGATCCACGCTACGCCACTGTTCTAAGGTTATAATAAATTGTACTTACTGCATGATGTAACAGGGGCGAGTCACTATTGCCTGGTCTGTAGTTAAATAAATAAGTTTTTGTACAATAATATGAATTGTGATTACTGCGTATTATCATAAAGATAAGTATCTACTGGATGCTGCACATTTAAACAAACATGTGATTACTGCGTATTATAATTATGTATTGCATGCTGTATCAAATGTGATTACTGCATATTGTATTAGAGAGTATAGGTCTATCTATTTCATACTGTATAATCATATAAAAATGTGATAATTGCATAATATAATAAAGATAACTATCTATTGCAAGCTGTATAGTTATAAAGTTGTATAAAAAGTTATTGCTATGTAATACAAACAGGGGTTCTGTGTTGCGATGTAACGTATAGGTGGGAAACTAAAAAAAAAATATCGCTCAACTCGACACAATACAAAATCCTAATTCAATTTGTATCTACTACATTCACTGTTGTAACAAAACATACGTCCCTTAGGGCTGGGTGTGTGAGCATGGGCCCACGAACCCCCTACCACAGAGGCGTAGTGAGGGGGGGGGCAGGGGTACATATGTCCCCGGGCGCCGACCTTAGGGGGGGGGGCGCCAAAATGGGTTGGAAAAACAAATTGAAAGTTTGAGGGGGGTGCAAATAAAAAGTTCGATGGGGTGCAAATCGAAAGTTCGTCCCCGGGCGCCGGGAAGGGTCGCTACGCCTCTGCCCTACCCTAACCTTTTCATACCCTACCAACGCAAACATGTCACATCTGGTAACGTTCTACGCCACAGAAGTGTGTCTAATATTATTAGATAGATAAAAATGCTATCAGGCGAACGGACGATACTCTAAACCTAAGTTAAAATATTAACATTGTAATAATCCTAATAGCAAGCATTTCTTTGTTTCTATAGTTGTGTAAATCCTGCTTGCTGCAAACTGTACACATCAGTAGCGTAGGCACCAGAGTTTCTTCCAGGCATCCCGAAAAATTTTTACCGCCCCCCCCCCCCCCTCCCCGAACGAAATGAAATTTATATAATTTATATAGAAACTTTTAACAGTGTCCGCCCCCCTCCCCGAAGAAAGTTTACCGCCCCCCCCCCCCCCCGAAGATTTCAAGTGCCCCCCCCCCCCCCCCGGAGAAAAAAGTCTGGAAGAAACACTGGTAGGCACGGGGGGGGGGTTATACCTCTCTGTATATATATATATATGTATATATATATATATATATATATATATATATATATATATATATATATATATATATATATATATATATATATATATATATATATATATATATATATATATATATATATATATATATATATATATATATATATATATATATATATATATATGTGTGTGTGTGTGTATATATATTGTATGTAGTACTTGTAGTACTTGTATTACTTGTATTACTTGCGCCAACCCTTGTACTAGAAACATCGTCTTTCTCATCAGAGACCGCGTCTCTACTAAATCACCACCATTCCATTCCGGTTACAGGTCGTTGACCCGGAAGCTCTTCCAGACTACCACTACAGGGATGACGCCATCTTGCTGTATGACGCAATCAGTGACTACGTCAAAGGCTACATAGATTTATACTACAGTAATCCATCTTATATTTTCATTATTTTTATTTATTTTTTAAATTGTATTTCATTATATCGAGTTGTAGAAATAGGGTTATGTTCTATAATATAGAGATTTGTATAATGTAGTTCTAACGCATTGATATATTGTAATTATGCTTAATGTATTGGTCTTAAAACCACCTTTAGACCAAATACTACTCCTTATCTTATTTGGTCTTCAGTTTTTAACTAATCCTGACACAGTACCCAATCCCACAATTCTAATTTGAAATTTAACAAAGATAATGACCGATAGATAATCTTTACTGAACTGTCCTGTCCCAAACGATACACTTTTAATACACTCGTAACATTAAGAACCAATGTCCGTGTTTATGTGTGTGTGCGTGTGTGTGTGTGTGTGTATATGAGTGTGTGTATGTGTGTGTGTGTGTGGATGTGTGCGCGCTCGTTTGTTGGTACGCGTACCTGATCTTCACCCCCATAACCAACACCGCTTTACAATCACATTGCAGATTTAGTTTGGGATAATTTTGTGTTTTCATTCGCCACACCTGGCTCATTTGACCTTGTAATCTATTTGTAGAACGGACGGTTGCCACTATGGCCATGTAGGCTACCTCCCAAGCTTTAGAAAACGATTACTTTTTGACGATTACTATTTAACGATTACTTTCTAACGATTAGTATTTAACGATTACTATTTGACGATTACTATGTAACGATAGTATTTACCGATTACTATTTGACAATTACTATTTGACGATTAGTATTTAACTATTATTATTTAACTATTATTATTTAACTATTAGTATGTAACAATTACTATTTGACGATTACTATTTGACGATTACTATTTAACCATTACTATTTAACGATTACTATTTAATGATTACTATTTAACGATTACTATTTAATGATTACTATTTAACGATTACTATTTAACGATTACTAATTAACGATTACTACTTAACGATTACTATTTAAAGATTACTATTTAACGATTACTATTTAACGATTACCATTTAATGTTTATTTTTCGAGTTGTTTAAAAAATAGACTATTAAAATACCTACTCGTGCAGTTAAACAAACAATTACTAAACCTAATGTCCCTAATTCAAGTCCATTCCTCTCAGTTTTCAGGCATCTATCATAACCCTTTCCCCGGAAGAAATAGATTAGGTTTACAATTTATATGTGAAATGTATACTTTGTTTCCCCATCTGAAATTATAATTCCCCCCCCCCCCCTCTCCCCTTTGAAAGTTGTAAGTATCCCTCGCCTACGTAGAAAAAAGTATCCGAAACAAATCATGATGCCTATACCTTTATAGCCCACCGCAGGCAAACTCTTGTAGGCAGAGGCGTAGCGAGGGGGGGGGGGCGGGGGGTGCGGACCGCTCCGGTGACACCATTTAGGGGGGGTGACACCAAGGCAAAAAAGAGCAAAATATATACAGAAAAACTTGAGGGGGGGGGGCTGCAAATCAAAAGTTCGAGGGGGGGGGGGTGCAAATCGAAAGTTTGAAAGTTTGTCCCCGGGAAGGGTCGCTACGCCTCTGGGGTAGGGGGGATGACCCCATTAAGTGCCGCACCGAGTGACACCCGACCTCGCTACGCCACTGCTTGTAGGTACTTGAGTATGACAAAGCTTCTGCTGACCACACAATTCCTTCATGTGTCAAGGCTAGAGAAAAAGACTAATTTCGCCCTATGATTTATCCCACGCTAACTCTACTGTAACTACTGCACAGCTAGCCAGCAATCCCTGATGGATGACTATGAAATACAGAACTGGGTTGAGGAACTGGCCAAGGAAAGAAGCGGATCGCATGGTGGAATAGGGATTCTGGTACGTCGTGTATCGGAATTTTATTTTAATTATCTATTTATATACATAATTCTCTACGTCACTAAACCAGAGGCGTAGCGAGGGGGGGGGGGGACACATATGTCCCCGGGCGCCGACCTTAGGGAGCGCCAAAATGGGTTGGAAAAATATATTGAAAGGTTGAGGGGTGGTGAAAATCGAAATCATGATGGGGGGGGGGCGTGCAAATCGAAAGCTTGAGGGGGGGGGGGGGTTGCAAATCGAAAGCTTGAGGGGGGGGGGGGGGGTTGCAAATCGAAAGTTTGAGGGGGGGTGCAAATCGAAAGTTTGAGGGGGGGGGGTTGCAAATCGAAAGTTTGAGGGGGGGTGCAAATCAAAAGTTTGAGGGGGGGGGGTTGCAAATCGAAAGTTTGAGAGGGGGGGGTTGCAAATCGAAAGTTTGAGGGGGGGGGGTGCAAATCGAAAGTTTGTCCCCGGGCGCCGGGAAGGGTCGCTACGCCTCTGCGCTAAACCATGCGGGACACCATGCACGCACGCCAACTCTCTAACCCACCTCCCGCCCCCTCCCTCGCTCTCCAGGCATGCGCAACAGTGTGTACCCACCCACCCCATTTTGACAACTGTGTCTTTGAGGAAGTCTTCCCACGTCACTAAATAGCAGCGTATGGTACGCCGCGGGTCGGCTCGTCTTGTTTAAAATATCCTATTTACCTAACTCGTGAACATCATTATATGATTTTTCTTTCGCAAATAGCGTTGCTTTAAGCTAGCACATATTTAAGTGTATGGTTTGTTTATAAACAGTTTGTGTATTATTTACTAGAACTAATTCTCGATAGACTAGATTTATTACTTACCCGAGTCCACCCAGCTCTAATGGGTACCCGATTCGCAATAGTAATGGTAAAGATTGTTGGACTAAATGTTTATCATGATATCCTTTTAAATGCCGAGGTCACAAATGCAGGTGAACTCTGTGTACCCCATCAGAACCATCTTATGGCGCAGATGAAGTAGAGTTCATCTGTTTGAATTACCTCGGCATACAAGGGGTTAATGTATTGATTATAAATTCTACATTATTACTTGTATATTAATAATAAAGACAGGTAGTTATTATATTATTCTAAAATGTGTATACTTGAATTTTATGTAGGCTACCGGCTATAATTAATAATTATACATTATTACTTGTATAATAATAATTAACTCAGGTAGATATCATTGCAAGATGTTTTAAACATGAATTCGATTGTGTCTTTACCAAGCGTGTAGCTACCCAGATATGAATAATAATTCTACTTTATAACTTGTGTAGTAAAGAACAGTGGCGTAGCGAGGTCGGGTTTCACCCGGTGCGGCACTTAAAGCGTAGCGACCCTTCCCCGGGGACAAACTTTCAACTTTCGATTGCACCCTTCCCCCTCAAACGTTCGATTTGCACCTCTTAAAACACGATTTAACACTCGAATTAATCACTTAATTAAGTGGAATTATCATTTTTCTCCATATGTTTTGCTATTTTTTGCCTTGGTGTCAACCCCCTAAATGGTGTCACCCTGCGCGGTCCGCATCCCCCGCACCCCCTCGTTACGCCTCTGGTAAAGAACAAGTCAGAAAGTGACTGTATTATTCAAAAACTGCTTTAACTTGCATCTGTGTGTCTATACCTAGGGTCTACCTACTTTAACATTCTTCTGTGTCTATACCTAGGGTCTACCCTGTTTTAACATGCTTCTCTGTGTCTATACCTAGAGTCTACCCTAATTTAACATGCATCTTTTTGTCTATACCTAGGGTCTACCCTACGTTAACATGCATCTTTTTGTCTATCCCTAAAGTCTATCCTGCTTTAACAATGGTTCTGTGTCTATACCTAGAGTCTACCCTACTTTAACATTCTTCTGTGTCTATACCTAGGGTCTACCCTGTTTTAACATGCTTCTCTGTGTCTATACCTAGAGTCTACCCTACTTTAACATTCTTCTCTGTGTCTATACCTAGAGTCTACCCTACTTTAACATTCTTCTCTGTGTCTATACCTAGAGTCTACCCTACTTTAACATTCTTCTCTGTGTCTATACCTAGAGTCTACCCTACTTTAACATTCTTCTCTGTGTCTATACCTAGAGTCTACCCTACTTTAACATTCTTCTCTGTGTCTATACCTAGAGTCTACCCTACTTTAACATTCTTCTCTGTGTCTATACCTAGAGTCTACCCTACTTTAACATTCTTCTCTGTGTCTATACCTAGAGTCTACCCTACTTTAACATTCTTCTCTGTGTCTATACCTAGAGTCTACCCTACTTTAACATTCTTCTGTGTCTATACCTAGGGTATACCTACTTTAACATGATTCTGTGTGTCTATACCTAGGGTCTACCTACTTTAACATTCTTCTGTGTCTATACCTAGAGTCTACCCTACTTTAACATTCTTCTGTGTCTATACCTAGAGTCTACCCTACTTTAACATTCTTCTGTGTCTATACCTAGAGTCTACCCTACTTTAACATTCTTCTCTGTGTCTATACCTAGAGTCTACCCTACTTTAACATTCTTCTGTGTGTCTATGCCTAGGGTCTACCCTGTTTTAACATGCTTCTCTGTGTCTATACCTAGAGTCTACCCTACTTTAACATTCTTCTGTGTCTATACCTAGAGTCTACCCTACTTTAACATTCTTCTCTGTGTCTATACCTAGAGTCTACCCTACTTTAACATTCTTCTGTGTGTCTATGCCTAGGGTCTACCCTGTTTTAACATGCTTCTCTGTGTCTATACCTAGAGTCTACCCTACTTTAACATTCTTCTGTGTCTATACCTAGAGTCTACCCTACTTTAACATTCTTCTCTGTGTCTATACCTAGAGTCTACCCTACTTTAACATTCTTCTCTGTGTCTATACCTAGAGTCTACCCTACTTTAACATTCTTCTGTGTGTCTATGCCTAGAGTCTACCCTACTTTAACATTCTTCTCTGTGTCTATACCTAGAGTCTACCCTACTTTAACATTCTTCTGTGTGTCTATGCCTAGGGTCTACCAGGCAATGGGTCACTGACCAGCCTTGACCAGCTGAAGGACATCGTGACCTGTGTCATCTACATCTCCAGTGTAGGGCACGCGGCCACTAACTTCCTACAGTATGATGAGTATGGATTCCCACCCAATTTCCCACTCACACTTATAGGGAACCCACCCAATGACCCTGTAAGCATACCAGATTTTGTAGCCTATTGTACGTAAATGCAGTATATATATATATATATATATATATATATATATATATATATATATATATATATATATATATATACAAATATGTGTGTGTATTTATATGTGTATATATGTGTATATATATATGTATATATATATGTATGTATATATATGTATATATATATATATATATATATATATATATATATATATATATATATATATATATATATATATATATATATATATATATATACCGACAGAGAGAGAGAGAGAAAGAATATCCCAGGCAGAATAGCTTGAGGGCAATTTTCTCATGACAAAATATCACACTGCAAAATATACTAGTGGTGTTTAGTTAAATCTAAGTTAATAATAATAATAGTCCGAAAAAAGATATCAAACGCGATTGGTCCCTTTGAGTCTACTGATCATAATCAAAACTAGAACACAGAGTTGGTATTGGAATGTCATAAGATCGTCAGATCAGAGAGACAGTTAAAAAAGCCCCTTACAATTGTTCACTCCAGCTTTTATACCCGCTCTTGTCTTTGAGATAACAATACCCAAACACTCAACTCACACACGCCTCTCCTCTACGTTCTAGACTATTCTAGCCTTTTCTAATCTAACCTACAACTGACCCGTAGTACTAGATACCCCAATAAAGGTTAAGGGACGATGATGATGATGAATTTAATAATAAATCACCATTAGAAGATAATATGTACCACTCATAAGAAGTGTTCCCTCTAAGCTGTGCGGTTGCGCGGCCGCTCAGTAGTTTTAAACCTGCCGCGTAGTCATTTTGTAAAATACATATATCCTTGTATAAGATTTTTAGAACACCGCGCACACAAAATCCAAGTTGCACTCTAGCCTTTTCCCTTTAGAGGGAATGTTGCTCATAAGCTCTTTTTGTATTCTATTTTCCAAGGATTGTATCCTCCACATTTCCACCTGTACATTTGTTTTAATTCCCTTAGACTTACAACGCGTCAGAATCTGACGTCGTCAAGGCTCTACCTGACATGGTCACCATCATGGACTCGCTGATCATCACCAAAATCCTCAGCACGAAGAGCACCAAAAGCCTGGGCGACTTCGAGGTCCAGTACATCTATGACCCAAGGGCCATCCCATTAGTCAACAAGTAAGGGACATACTTTGTCCACAAAACGAACAACGGTGTAAATCTTACAGTACTGCACTGTGTATTGTTCTATTTCCCAGTTCACAGCTTTAAGATTCAACGTACACATCTATTACGTATCAAAGTTTTAATACTATTCCTCAATGAACCTACATGTTGATTTAAAATTGCATGGTTATAAGAATCATTTGAGCAGTTTCTAATATAATTCAACAGTATGCCGATCTATAATTCTATCAAGATTTCAAATTACATTTTCTAATAAACCGGGAGTGATCTCCCCTAAACTTTCTCGAATATTCTTATATAAAATAACAGGGGATGGGAACTCGGGCTATAGACATGATTTTTAATCCATTTTAAATACTTAAAGTTTTAAAAATAGAATAAAATCTCGTAGACAAATTAATTGCACACCAAGTGAACGCCCAATAAAAAAGCGCATAATAGTGCGCAATATTATTAGTACTTTTAAAATTTACATTAGTTTTTTGAGAAATCGGAAGTAGCGTAAATTACTACTTCCAGTCAACGGAAATTACTCAAAATTTAACAGAAGGTAGAGAATTAGATCTTTTACTTACATGTGAAATTTCATTTATCTATCTGAAATAGTACTCAAGTTATAGGCTTTTGAAAAATTCAAAGTAGAAAAAGTACCACTTCCGGTTATCGGAAATCGCTCAAAAGTTGATACGGATCTACGATTTTGATAAAATACTTATATATGAAATTTCATCAACCTAGCAGTAACGGTACTCAAGTTATCGTGTTTACACACGGACACACACACAGACACACAGACACACACACACACAGACATACGGACAAGATTGCAAAATTATGTTTTTCCGTATCAGTGAGGTGTAAAACGTCGAGATTTGTAAAAATCTCGATTTTTTTTTTTTTGCACGATTACAATACTTTCTCTATACTACGTATATACGAGAAAGTAAAAAGATTAACTACGCTTCGATGAACAATTTTCATATTAAAATTTTGTCCCGATTATATCCTCATTTTTCAACTTACACTGTTACTTTTGTGTGGCTGGTTTATTCAGGTTTTTTTTTTCGAATTACTTGTGGGTAGTCATTTTGTATTTTCTAAAAACATATTTGAAGCTCTTTTGTCCAGTTTTCACTTCCTGTAGCACTTTTATCCTTTTTTAGCTTACACTTCAGTAGCACTTGTTTCTGTTTTCAACTTTCATATAATTAGCCCTTCTGTCCTGGTTTCAACTTGCAATTCGATAGCCCTTTAATCCTGTTTTCAACTAATGAAGTATTTGTACCTATTTTGTCCTGTTTTCTTCTTAGATAACCCTTTTTCATGTTTACACCTTACATTTTATAAAGCCCTATTGTCCTGTTATAAGTCACGTACAGGGTGTGTAACTATTCAATTATTCTCTGTTCCCAGTTTCCGCAAGAGAATGTTGGAGATCACGCAAATGATCGACACCAGGAACAAAGACAGGCGTCCCTCATACAACTACCTGGACCCTAAGTACATCCCCAACAGTATCAGCATCTAGAGACATCCCCAACAGTATCAGCATCTAGAGACATCCCCAACAGTATCAGCATCTAGAGACATCCCCAACAGTATCAGCATCTAGAGACATCCCCAACAGTATCAGCATCTAGAGACATCCCCAACAGTATCAGCATCTAGAGACACCCCCAACAGTATCAGCATCTAGAGACATCCCCAACAGTATCAGCATCTAGAGACCATCCCCAACAGTATCAGCATCTAGAGACATCCCCAACAGTATCAGCATCTAGAGACATCCCCAACAGTATCAGCATATAGAGAAATCTTCCATTGGCTGGATGTCCTCGTCTGCTTCGTGATTTACGCAGATAAATCTTGGAGCTCTACGTTTATATAATTATATTAAGTGTTTATCACAGCATATTATGATATAAAATCATTTATTCATCTAACCCCATAATTTTTTTTTCATAATTCTTAAATTTCGAGATATGAAAAATAGAATCTTAATGTAACCGAAACCATTATGCAGATATGACACAAGCCTTGAAATAACATAATCCAGACCAAACATAAACTTCAAAGTTAAACAATCAGATATATATATATATATATATATATATATATATATATATATATATATATATATATATATACATATATATATATATATATCAAAAGAATTTCACGCTTAAACGCTATGCCAAACCTTAATATAATACAAGACAATGGTGGTTAGGGGGGGGGGGGTTAACCTTCTCATGGATTCACATCCCATATATATGTATATATAGTATATATATATATATATATATATATAATATATATATATATATATATATATATTATATATATATATATATATATATATATATATATATATATATATATGTATATATATGTATATATATATATATATATATATTATA